ACACGCTGGGCAGCGTGTTGAGATGTAATTGTTCGTTCACAAAGATAAATCATTCTCACCACTCCACACCTCTGAATTTGCTAGAAGTTATTCCTGCGGTTCACATAGACGTGGCGGGCTTTAAACTCTTACCTAGAGTTCTCCAAAGGATCATAATTCCTCACTAAGTTTATGTAAATATCCATACAGGTCAGCCTGTGTCCAGTTTGAGTGAAAGGAGGCACGCGCGGTCCGCACTGAGGTCAAACGGCGGCAGCGCGCGAGGCAAAGCGCAGAGGCGCCAGCTGTGTGATTGGTCCGCGCTGTCGGGTTTAAATGCATAAACTATAAACCTATCTATTATAAACCTATCCATTAGGAATAAATCTGCTCTGCTAGTGAAATGCTAAGAGCAAAAGAGACGCGTGCAGCCCGGCTTAAATAAAAATATTTTTTTTATTTTCCTAGAAACGTAAACAAGCAACGCTTAGCCTGGCGGCAGGGCTAGTAAAGCTTGGCGGGCCGCCAGACTTATGATACACTGGGGGAAACTCTGTCTCTACATTTCATTCCAAACCAAAAGGATAATGCTGCATGTTGGCTTTGCACGTTGCTGTGTGTTCAACCAATTTGATCAAATGTAAACCATTAGAGATGCAACTCTATCGCCTTTTCATCATCAGTCAGAATACTGAGTTTCCTAGATGTTCCTGTTGGTTTAATCCAACTTTAAACAAATTTTTCTGAATTTTGAGTCCAAATGGAAACCATTATAAAACATTTTCACCTCCACCATTTGGGGAATAATCTAATACTTTAGATTATATTAATCCAGTAGTTTCTGAATAATTAGTTTGATAAATGGCACAACAAATGGTGTGACTAGAGCTGCAGTGATCAGGCTTTTAAAGGCTGATATTAATAACTGTATCATGTAGAAACTGGCATGACCATTTCATTATTTTCAGTAAAACATCCTGCCTGAAACTCCTTGTGAGATTTGCTGTCACCAGTGCAAAAAATATGCTTCCTGTATGTGCAGTGAGCGTCTACTGAACAGACCAAATATATAATTTCAAAGCAGAGTTTTCATATTTTAAAATGTATCATACAACACATTGCACCCAAGCAGTCTTTTGTGGGATTCCTCCTTCAAAAACAGAGATTTGAAGAAATTGCTGTCTCCATGTGTGCATCAAAGTTTATCTTTCTAGATAACGAGATGTTTGGTAACTGGAAGTAAAACATGCACAAAAGAATATCTTCTTTGTCTCTGCAGAATAAGTGGGAGACTTTCAGCTTTGATGCTTTAAACGAGGAGGAAATAGATTTGTTTTTATTTGACCTGCTGATCATCATTCAGAACCAATCAAGGCAAAACTGGAAAATTTCAGTAGCTGCTTGGCTGGTTTAACTGTTTCACTGCTTTCAGGCCAGAGCTGCACAAAATATTGAATCTCAATTACTGGAATATCAATATGTGCAAAATGAAAATCGCCAAGGACTTACTAGGTGCAATATTTGATCTGGTATGATGATATTTCATGATCGTGGAATCTCAAGAAAAACAGAGACTGGTGTGATTTTGCACACAGTTAAAACGGTTTTGATTTGATTGATACAATAATATTTAAGCACACAACTCTTATAATAAAGGTTTTATGTGTGCGTTATTCTGGAGCGAAAGGGCCACATAAATGGGTACGGCTGTCCCCCTGACCTCAAGTTTGACCCATGTGCTCTAAAGCGGCTTTTTGGCGTGCAGGACTGCAACTAATAGTTATTTTATTAATTGATTATTCTGACAATAAAAAAGGCACACTTTATTCTATTTTACACAGTATTGAAAAATACATAAAATTGAATTAAATTCCTCTATAAAATAAGAAAATAAAAAATTTTTTGCCTGAAATGCTATAGCATTACATTCCTTAAATGTACGCTTGAAGATTTGCAGCAAAAGATTCATCTGCAGCTAAAAACAATACTTCAAACATCAACGTATGAAAAGTTTCATATGAAAACTTTCTGCTTGACTTAAAATCAATAAACTGAGGGGATGACTGACTTTTATTTTTAGTCAACAGATCTTTCTAAGATTTTCTTTTTTTTCTTATCTTTTTTTCCTTTTACAAAATTTGACTCGTAGTTCTGGGTAGAAAATTTGTGCAAATATTGAATGTACTTTTTTCTTTTTTATATTGAATACAATATGCAGCTCTGGAAAAAAATAAGAGCCCACTGCACCGAATCCCATTGAAAACCTCCTTGTTATTCCACCAAAAAACTCTTCCTGAGTTAAAACATTAGTATTGTTTTTTCTAAATTAATATGAACTTGATTTCTTTGCATTTTTTGAGGTCTGAAAGCACTGCATCCTTTTTGTTATTTTTTTTTTTATTTTTTGACAATTTCTCATTTTCTGCAAATAAATACAAAATTTTTGTTTGGAATTTCAGAGACATGTAGTCAGTAGTTCATAGAATAAAAGAACAATGTTCGTGTTACTCAGACATAAACCTATAACGAGTAAAATCAGAGAAACTGATCATTTTAAGTGGTCTCTTAATTTTTTCCAGACCTGTTTGTAGAGTTTTAGCTTGATTACTGGTCTACCTGTGTTATTTCAGCAAATTGACTTTTAGAGTCTGCATACTCCAGTTAGTGACGAATCGATTACTAATTAGTTGATGATTATTTTAGCTCTGGTCTTGTGCAGGTTGTAACAAAGCAGAAGAATATGGAATAAAGATCTTTCACTGTGTTTAAAATATCAATGTTTATTCTGTTTTATGATGCATTTAAAGCTCTCTGTGATTTTAGTTGTTTAAGAGACGAATCAGTCTTAAAGTTTCCCCGTCTTTGTCCCCAGGTCCAGTCAAAGAAAAAGACAGTTAAGGATGCAGGAGCCCAACAATGGATTTCTCCTTCTCTTTCATGCAAGGGATCATGGGAAATACAATTCAGCAACCCCCTCAGCTCATTGACTCAGCCAACATCAGACAGGACGGCTCCTGCGACACCGGCAGTGACCCGGGTGAGGATAGCGGTCCCTCTTACGATGCTGCCCTGGATGCAGAGTTCTCTTACCCGCCGTCAGCCTCGGAGGACATGCCGCAGGTCCCTAACGGCTACCCCCCGGGTCTGGGCCTGTACGAGCCCCAGGCCAAGTTCTCCATGTACTCGCAGTTCCCCAACGGCTCGGCTAACGGCTACGGCGCCATACGGAGCTACGGGGACCACGGCCTCCTGCCGGGGGAGGGAACTGTCCTGAGAGGACCCGGCCTCCATGAGAGACCTCTGTCCCCCGTGTCTCCGCCGCTGTCAGTACATCACCCACACCTCCACCACCCCCATCACCATCACCACCACCACACACACCCCTTCCACTCGAACCCGCCTCACATACAGACCCACTCGCACCCGCACAGCCCCCCGCCACCGCCGCCGCTGCCGCTGCCCGCCCAGCACCAGCTGTCCCAGACGCCTCACATCATGAGCCACAACCTGCCGCCGCCGCCCCCCTTACACCTGCCTTCCTCCAGCCCCCCGCCCTCCCTGGTGGACAGTACCCCGTCTTCTCAGCCCGCGCTCGCTCCATCCAACACCCCAGGCGGCGGCGTGCTGAAGAAAACCAGCTCTCCAGAGATCAAGCTGAAGATCATAAAGACGTATCAGAACGGAAAGGAGTTGTTTGAGTCTGCGCTGTGTGGGGATCTGCTGCAGGAGCTGCAGGTAACGGGTCAAACTCAGGTGTAGACACGATGCTCTGCTCTGTAATTTCACATGTCTCACTCCTAAGGTACATATTATTCTTTTAGAAATAAATTTAAACTTCTTTAGTGGGACAACTTGTGTAAAAATCAAATTTTATAGTTATATAATTCTTCCCAGTATAAAAATAATGCACCATAACTCAGTGCTGCCTCTCCCCCACCTCAGTCTGGCCATTATCAAGCCTTTACACAAGTAAATAAACATCATTAGTAGAAATTAGGGCAGAAGAAAAACTAGTTTTTAATATTTAATATGTCAAGATGCAGGAAGAAAATATAAAACTTTGAATTTCTAAATGGTGAAAGAAATATACTCATGGAAAACATAATGTACGATTCTCCAGATGGTCCTAAAGCAGTCAAGGTCTAAAAATGTCCAGATTAAAGTTGAGATTAGATTTTAGTATTTAGTGCCAGTACCATCAGAAAGTGCTGACACCCACTTTTCTTTCATATTTTAAGTTTTTTCAGTTGTTTCCATATTTTTATTTATTTATTTTTTTTATTGAAAATGTCAGTGACAAAAAGAATTGCAGATGTCCTTTGGCCAAAAGTATTTATACATATAAATATTCAGCAACGGGTGTGGATACTTGGCATATTTACCGATTATCTTTATCTTTTTGTATAAATTTTATATCCATTTGCTAAAATGTGTCTGAAAATGTGTCATTGTATCATTAAGGGCTACTTTGCATAGATGTTTCAAAAGAAAATAAGAATTTTCAGTATAACAATGTAATACTTTCAGGTTGCCACAAATATTAAAAGTAACTAAATGAAAACAACAAGCGCTTATTGTCTTAATAATTTTTTGCGGTCCTTTAGAAGGAGTCTCAGAAGAACGAGGCGACTCAAATGCAGCGCAGACACGAGAGGAAGAAGGAGAAGAGGAAAAAGAGCGCGAGGTTGCAGCTTCAGGCTCAGCAGAGTGTGGAGCGGAGCCAAGAGCAAACCGCTTCCACGGCCCAAACAGAGGAGTCCGTCCAGCCGCAGCCAAGAGAGCCGCCGCCGCCGCTGCTGAGTGACCCGCCGCCGGCCCAGGCGGAGAAAACTCAGAGGACGGTCATCAAAACTGAGCCAAAAACACCGAAGGCAAAGAGCGAAGTAGCTTAGCACCTTCAATTCAAGTCTCTGTGGGATCTTAAAACTGGACCAGTAACGAGTGAATCTTCATCTTTAGGTTCCTAAAGTCCATCATCCGTCGGTGATCCAGGAGACGGGGTTCTGTAAGGAGTTTGTGATCGGAGATCTGGTGTGGTCCAAGGTGGGCACCTATCCCTGGTGGCCCTGCATGGTCTCCTCCGACCCACAGATGAAGGTCCACACTCGCATCAACACCAGAGGTAAGAGTACGGCTGCACTGACCTTTAAAAAGCCTAAATGCCGATTCCGATTTTGGCCGATACAGCTTTTTTGTTTTTTTGTCTTAAATATTGCTAAATATAAAAAAAAAAGTGGCTGAGCTATTGACTGTTGTTAACTGCGAATGTGAAGATGTGATCTGGTGACAGTTGATTATAATTTTTAGACATTTGTTGAGGTGGATAAGATTGGTGGATTATCGGCTTCACATTTAAGTGTCAGCCGATATTGGTGCAGCTCTAATCACAAGACTGTTGACCAAATCTCTGTTGTGGCTGTGTGATCTTGTAACTCCTCTCGTTAACAGGACACAGGGAGTATCACGTCCAGTTCTTCGGCAGCGTTGCTGAGCGAGCGTGGATCCACGAGAAGAGGATAGTCACGTACCAGGGGAAGCAGCAGTTCGACGAGCTCCAGGCAGAGACGCTGCGCAAAGCCACAAACCCTGTGGAGAGACAGAAAGTATGTACAGACATCATGTCTAAAAATGCAGATTTACCTGATATAATAAAAAGGGTTTCAAAGAGGAAGCATTGAAAAAAGACGGGAAACCAGATGTTGGATACTTTTGGTTAAAAAGCCATCCTAAGTTTAAGTTTAGGTGCGTAGTTATTTTAGGGTCCATTCACAGCAGCCACATTTGGACCACTTTAATCAAACTCTGGATTATTTTCCTGGAAGGTCTGGTTCGTTTGGGGAAGTGTGAACTCTGCAGACCAGAAAAGTGAGCTCTGGTTGGCCTAAAAACCCAGATCTAGGTTTGGATGAAGTGAACTCGAATGCTAAGAGGAGACTGCTCCAAAAGCAGGAAGTGAACTGTAGTGCAAGGCATTCTGGGTAAATACAACCAAAACAAACGTGTGTCTGGCACTAGCAGGAAAAATGATTCGGTCTTTTAAAGAGAAATCTTACAACCGCTAAAATATGAAGGAAGTTGCGCTCATGGCTTCATGGCCCACATTTTTTATACTTCCACTTGAGTCTCTATTGCTTCTAAAAACAGCCCAGGTCTTAAAAATCCCACCCAGCTGTTTTTATGCCAATGAGTTCATGTTTTCTGGTGCTTGGAAAATTAGTCATTTCAAAAGCCTCCAGATTGTTGATTCACACTGCGCCGTCACCTAACAACTCACGCAGAGCTCCGGCACGTTCAGCCAGCTGGTTTTACTGCTGAACTGGTGGTACAATGGCTGCTGGAAAAAAACCCAGCAGCCATTGTTTTTGACTTACCGACCAGAAACCACTTGCTGCATTCTTGTTGGTTCTTAGTATGCAGCCGTTTTATGTGTCAAATCAAATAAAATGTTATTTGTAGATCACTTAGAACTTTAAAACAGTTCAAGTGATCTAGAGCTAGACTTAAAGGAACTCAGTGTCTCAGCTGTTTTGCAGCTTTCCGGAGGTTTGTTCCAGCTGGGGAGGAGGGGGTGACTAGCAGCAACTTATTTGGATTTAAAGTGACATTAGGCCCTAAAACGGCTCATTCTGAAATTGAACAGACTAAAATCTCATTATCTCTGAATAATTCTATGCAGAAAATATGATGAGCATGTTTTGTGTAGCCCATAGACTTGTCCTGTTTATGGAAGCTTATGAATTCATATGGAAGTTATGAATTTCCAGTAAATGATGATTATTATTAAAAAAATCCTTCATGATTTATCTTTCTCCAGCTTTTGAAGCCCATCCCTCAGAGGGAGCGGACTCAGTGGGAAGTAGGCGTCGGCCATGCTGAGGATGCCTTTCTCATGACGCGCCAGGAACGGATCGACAACTACACCTTCATCTACGTCGACCCGGACCCCGAAGAGGCGCCGCCTACCAAGAAACCCAGCATCCGAGCTGAAAAACGGAGCCGGCGCTCCAGCGGCTCGGTTGGAAAGAAGGAGGATGTCGGCGTGAAGTCGCCTGACAGAGAGCAGCCGCCGCGGAGGCAGCTGCCGCGCCGGCAGTGCAGCATTTCCAACACGGAGGACAGCTCGAACTCGCAGACCGCCGGGGAAGAGAAGAACCAGAAGGGAGAACAGCAGAAGAAGAGTTCACCGCTGCAGAACGCCGGCTCTGATGCAAAGCAGGACTCGCCGCCGCCGGTGGTCAGGCCGTGGAAAACGGCAGCGGCGAGGAAGCTGCTGCCTCTCTCCATCACCATGAAGAGGCTGAACGTGGAGATCACCAAGTGCGACTGGCCTCTCCTGCAGAAAAACATCACGCCGTCCCCAAAGAAGGACAGAGAAGAAGAGAAGAAGGAGAGGGTGGAGAGAGAGGCCCGGCAGCCCGACCTGGGGTACTGCTCACCTGACGTAGGTCTAACCAGGTGCAGATGGACGGAAGGACGGTGACGCCGTCCTGTGAGGTCTGATCTGAGTGTTTCCTCCAGCAGGACAGCAGAGCCAAACCTGAGCCCAGTCCAGAGGAGGAGGAAGAAGAGGGCGACGAAGGTGAGGAAGAGAGCGACGAGCGGAGAGGCTCTCCGGCCAGCAGGAGGAGCGAGTCAGCGAATCGACAAAACTCTTCACCTGGATCGCCCAGCAGCAGCCCGCAAGGCGAGGAAACGAATCAGAGCAGCAGCCATGTTTGTTTGCTCGCCTGTAAAAAGCCTGAAAAGAAATCAGTTTTTTATCAAAATGTTACTAACCCTGTCTCAGTAACAAATGTTGCTAGATGATAAATTGTCCCAGAAGTTATTGTGATAAACTATAATATTGTTAATGATGAAGAAACACGAGATCAATAAACTTTAAACTCTAACAAACATTTAACACTGGAGCTGGAAGACATTTTAAATATCGAGAATAAATAAAGAAAACCACAAATAAAATGAACTGTGAAGTCTCTGTAAACAAAACTGTCCTTCCAAAAAAGGAGCTAGTTGAGACCAATTCACCAGACTGAGGACTTTTATCATCCAGGTTTTGGCAGAAAAACAGAAAAACCAAAATAAATCATGCAAATGGAAATTATTGAGCTTGCTTTGATTTATCATGTGATTATTTATTGCTTGTTGCAACAGGTTTAAATGTCACACTGAATAAATTACAACCTTTAATTTTACTACATTTATTCACTGGGAGGAAACAAAAGTTTTGGTGCCCCAACAACCACTTCAAAATAAACGTAACCACAGGATTTATTCTGGTGGCGGTTTGGTATAATGCACTGTGGGAAACCCTGAATATTACAGCAATAAAGTCATACGAAATAACTTCAGAGTATTTCAAAAATAAAGCTGTAATATGTGATGAAAGTCATATTATTAGCAGAATGAATACCTAATAATATGGAAATATTCATGATAGTAAAATGAAAATTTTTGCAAAAATCAAGCTACTTTACTACATATTGCATGTTTAGCTTCTTGTTTTATGCTACAGAATAAAACATTTACTAAAAAACCTGTGGAGGGATATATTTATTTTTTTATTTAACTTTTATTTCACCAGGTGAGGTATTAAGAACAAATTCTAATTAAGGACCTGGCTGAAGAGAAGAGATGTTTTAGAGGAATAAAGCAAAAAGTAATGATCAAATCTCATTGTGCTCCAACCTCACTAAATGTTACAGACGACTAATTAAAGGTCAAAGGTTTGTAAAGGTGCTGATAGAAGCTGAACCAGCAGGTGTGGCACTACTGACTCTATTTTTTAATTAAATGCTAATTTGGGAGATTTTTCTCCACTTAAAAGATGAACTCAAATTAAAGATTGGACGTTTCTGCATTTTTTAGAGAGAAAAGTTAATTTTAGGGCTTTCTGCTCATCTTTACCTGCAGTGCCAAAATAAAAATAATTTATTTTTTCTTATTTTTGTTCTCTGTGTGATACAAAATGCAGGCTGCTTATTATTTATTTATTTTTGCTTTCAGGCTCTCAGGAGAGGAAGCCTCAGCGGCGGTCAGTCCGGAGTAGATCTGAGTCAGAGAGAGGCGCCGATCCCATCCCGAAGAAGAAAACCAAAAAAGAACAGGTATGAGTCTACCTCTGCTCACCTGCAGGGAAAGATCTGGCTTCTCTCTCGTTATTCTACGAAAACTGAAATAAATCATGACCTCAGATTTCCATCACAGAGAACATTTCAGATTGAATTGCTGCAGTTTAGGGCTGAATGATGTGGCTTAAAAATTAAATCCCGGATTTTATTTTTAAGATTGATTCAGATTTTCATAGATTTTGTTATTTCTTTTATTTGTTTTTTTTCTTATTATTTTTCTAAAAAAAAAAAAAAGACATTACTCCTGAAAATATTTTAAAAAGTGGCCTTTATTTCATTCATCCCTATCAGATTAGGGATGAATGAATAATGCCATACTAGTATGAGCAGAAACAAATAAGCAATTTTACCACAAAATTATCAGGAAAAAATTTATTTTAATGAGAAAAAATATTCAATAAATTTATCAGGATCTGATGTGACCCGCTCAGTTCATGAAGTTCATTGTTCGAAATTGTTTTCACGATTTTTTCAAGATTCTGCTACTGATGAGGATTTGATGCCAATGTGTTTAAAAGTATTTTTTATCTATTATTTTTATTTTATTTTTTTGTGTTAGAAGTGTAAAACTACTATAAAATTCCAATGTTATTGTGGTGAAGTTATGAATTTATTATTGTAATTTAAAAAAAGAATCATAGCCTGGCCTTAATATTTTTTGTCGTGGTGTTTCCTTGAATTAAAAGTTTATATAAATAGAATTTGCAAAACGCGCTTGTGAAACAAGATGGCGGCCCTGGACACACTGACATCACTCTGAACTATGGAAACCGAAGGAGTGGATCAGTGGAAAGATTTTACAAAAATTAAATGTTCTACTCTGTTAATCAAAACAATCAATTTAAGTTAAACAGATTGGAAAACGCAGAGTTCATCAAAGTATGAAATTTGTGTTTCTCAGGCTGAGATGGCTCCAGAAACCACTCTGAAGACGGGATCACAGAAAGGTATAAAATACTCAACACCTCCTCAAACCCAGAAACTATAAACTCCTTCATAACCTACATGAAATCCATGCCATCCTCCTGTAGGAGCCAGTGAGATCTCGGATGCGTGCAAACCGCTGAAGAAGAGAAGCAGAGCGTCAACGGACGTAGAAATGGCTTCGTCTCAGTACAGAGACACGTCTGATTCCGACTCCAGGGGTCTCAACGACCCACAGGTAGGCTTCAAATGAAACGACACACACAAAAACAAGAAGACACAGATGTAATAAAAGAAATAGCTCATCCTGTCATTCCTGTATCATAAAAGAAACAAAATGCGTTTTGAGTAATATATGGATTCTGTGTGTGGACTCTAAGCTTTCCAATGATGTCAAACACATGGAAATAAAAGAAGAAGTTGTTCTTTACTACAAATGTTGTGCACATTAACATCATTTTAGGGCTATTTGTAATTAAGAAGCATAATAAAAGAAAAATAGACTTGAGTGGCTTTGGCAGAAACAGAAATCCTCTTCTGCACCATTAAACATAAAAATTATCCACCCATTTCTATCCATTGTATTTATTTGCTGATTCAAATCCTTTTATATATAAAAAAAACAGCTGTTGACGTGTGCTCAGAGCATTATAAGCAGGCAAAGTCCTAAAAACTAAAACACAACTCTCAATAGTAGTACGTGTTGAACTTTGAGCTAACGTCACCGTACATGCAGTACCTCGCGGACCACTAGGGGGCAGCCACAAACCACAGTTTGAGAAGGATTGACGTATTCACCTTTTGCAACTAGGATCCCTAATCATTCGAGGCGACATGACGGACGTGAGAAGAGAGGGACGGGAGTATTGTATTGAACAAACTTTTCCCAAGTTGTTTTTGCCAGTTTATTCATGGCTTCTACTCGTTCGAGTCAAGGTAATTTGTTTGTGAATGTAACACACCTGATTGGGGCTCACAGACAGTGGTATTTACAAAAGTTGGAAATAGCTAGCTTAGAAACCGACCCGTACCTCCTCCCCGTCACGTGTTGATCAAATTACCAACTTTGCCTGAATTCACACCACACTTGATCATAAACTGTGTTTACTTTTACACCGGAGTAGCCTTAAAAACGCACAAAAGACGAGATGCTAACCAGTTTTGTATTTTTTTTGTACATACATGCTAGGCTACGTGACGGTGCGGCATTGTTTCCATGGTTACGGTTACACGGGTACCTTCTCCATAATGCGATATTTAATATCTTTCTAATCATACAGCGCCCTATGACAATTTCTTAAGTGAAATCATGTTCATAAAAGCGATATTAGGTGACAGATATCTGGTTTTAGACTAGCTTTAAAGGAGCGCATTGGTTGTTTTGATGTCCGTCATGGCGGAGCGGACGCAGTTCTGGAAAGCGTGACGTCACGTGCAAAGGGTCAATAGAGATGAATACTTTTTTGTCGATAGGCTTTTTTTTTAGGTGAATTTAGCTTTTCTAAGCACATATTGAAGTAACATCATCCCTAATAATTCTCCAGGGATTATTTGGGAAGAGCCTGGACAGTCCAGCCGCGGCAGACGCTGACGCTTCGGACACTCAGTCTGTGGACTCCGGTTTGTCCCGTCAAGACAGCGGTACCGGACAGAGAGACACGGTGTGCCAGGTAAGGCTGGTCTCTGCTGGATTACAAGTTTTCAAACCGAAAATATTAAATTTTTTTATTTTTTTATTATCTTTATTGATTCACAAATAAGCAAGTTTTACAAAACATATACTCACAATATCATAATGCCAATTTCAATATTTAAGAAGAAAAGAAAAATAGACCAGTCCATTGTAATAAATAAAACACCATTTGCAGCTCTATTTCTCAGAAAAAGATAACAATGTTTGAAATGCAACATAGAATAATGTTGCATTATTCTATGCAAATATTGGTACCATTATATACCAATATTTAATGGCATTTTTTTTTACCTTTAAATAAATGGTAAGAAATACAAACGAATAAAAATACACAAACTAAAGACATATTAAATAATAATAAATGAAACTAAATCTCCTGAGCCTCACATAGTCTAACTTTGCTAACAAAAACTAAATTGTTTGATCTTGTTATTGATTGTCAACAAATTTAATAATAAGTATTGTTAAATTAAGTATACATACTCTGAAAAAGGCTGTTTGCTGACGGAACAACACACTTCAAGCAGTAATTAAGCCAAAAGTATACAAAAAAGTATACATTTTGCGTTTAAGATGAAAAATAAAACATTTTTGTTATTTTCTACACAGAACTCCTTTAGTAGCGAAGGTTTAGCTTCACCTGGTTCAAATTCTGTAAGAGAAAAAAATTCCTATTACGTGCCTTTCCCTATCCAATTATTAATCACTTAATCCTAAAAATAATCAACAGATCAGTCCTATGCTGTATTGATTCACAGCAGAGGCATCGTTTGCTACAAATGATCAGGTATTCACTAAAGAAATGCTATGTTATCATATTTTAGGTAATAAAATGTTTATTTTGTCATTCAAAAAGGAATTAAATTACTTCTTTATATGCTTATGTATCAAAAATACATTAAATGGTTAAATGAAACATATGCAGAATTTACCTTTTTTAAATCAGATTAATTAATAATCATTGTTGTATATGTATCTCAAAAAGGACAATCATATCAAATAATATGCCAGAGTTAGTCATAAAGGCTAGTTTTCATCTGTAGTCCCTCAAGCTACGATCCAAATAAATACAATATATTACAGTGCAATATAACTTAACAAACTTTTTCCAAATCATCAGAATAATCAATTACAAATGTAATAATTAGTTTCAGCCCAGTTACACAAATATCTCTAAAGACATGCAGCTTTAACTGTGGCAAAAGCTTGTTCTGCAAAGTGTTTTATCTTCAATTTTTTTAGTGTCAAAATACAGTGAACTTTGTAGTTGTAGGATTACACAATGTGAACACGCTGAATGGGTATGAGTACCTTTGCAAGGCCCTGAGTCATTAGATGATGTGTGCGTTCTTTAGATCTGCGAGGCGTATGGGGAGGGTTTGGTCGTGTGTGAGGGCGACTGCAGCAGACAGTTCCACCTGGAGTGTCTCGGCCTGTCGTCTCCACCGGAGGGCCGATTCACCTGCACTGAATGTAGAAATGGTGAGAGCAAAGACAGTTTCACCCTAAATGACCTGAGCCGAGTTTGTTTCTTTTGTTGTGACTTTCTGCTGTTTTATTTTTCTTTCTTTTAGGCAATCATCCTTGTTTTAGCTGTAAATCAGTGGACCCGGAGGTGACTCGTTGTTCCGTGTCTGGATGCGGATGCTTCTACCACGAGGATTGTGTCCGGAAGCTGCCGGGCACCACCAGCGGTTCTGGTGGAGGGTTCTGCTGCCCGCAGCACAGCTGCTCCACCTGCTGCCTGGAGCGAGACCTGCAGCGAGCCAGCAAAGGTGGAGCGGGTTCTCCTTCATTTGTTTTCTGTTTTAAAGGTGACCTATTATGCTTCTTTGAACGGGTTGGAATAGATCTATGGTCTGTACAAAACATCTAAGAATGATTTTGCACAAAATCATTCTTAGATAATGAGATTTTAGTCTGCTCAGTTCTGCCTATTTTGAGCTCTGTTAGGGCCTCTTGTCACTTTAAACCCAAATAAACTGCTGCTGGCCACGCCCCCAACTCAATGTTTACTCTCAAACATGAAAACAACCGTACATCTTTGAAAAGTATTTGTAGCACCTCCTGCACAACCAACAAGAATTCAGCAAGTGGTTTCTGGACAGTAATTCAACAACAAAACACTTGTCTCTTCCAGCAGCCATTTTACAGGTCACAAAACCAGCTGACCAAACATGCTAGAACTCTGACTGGGTTGCTAGGTAACTTCTTGTGCTTGACTGGGGTTGCTAGGTAACGGCACATTTGTGATGACCCATTCCAAAGGTTTTTGAAACAGCTCATTTTCCAGACACCAAAAAAACTTTAGCTTATTGACAAAAAAATGGCTGAGTGTTTTTTTTAAGTGCTTGGGTTGTGCTTAAGAAGCAGTAGAGACAAAAATGGAAGGATAATGTAAAATATGAATATTGCATAATTAGTATCCTTTAAGTTCCACTTTGAGTCTGGTTGCTGGAACTTTGCAATTATAAAGTGGGGAAAAGGTTGATTTGCTTTAGAAAAAGTTTATAAACAAATTAATTTACAAGGTAATTCAAAAAGGCAAGATCAATTCACTGGTGAATTGGTAAAATATTAGAAATAATTTGCTATAGAAAGAAATAAGAGTCTCTTAAAAATAGTTTTGTTTGGAACAGAAAAACTTAGGGACACATCTAGAATATTTGGTGATTCAGAACATCCAGTTCTCTGTTTGGTTTAAATGAGGTGTACCTGGAAGACCATCGGGGACAGAGTTATTGCTATGTTCCTGGAAATGGATGATGATGGTGCGTCATCATGGTGCAAATAAACCAAATGAAAAAAGGAAGAAATGGCTTTCATCTCACCCAAGGGGAGACCATCATCCTGTGACATTGCTGGTGCTATTTCTCTCGAACAATAGCTACAGTAAAGCTTGAATTCAAGCTTCTTTGAGAAACAGAATGACTGATTCAGACAGCTAGAAGGAAATGTATCAGAAACAGGCAGTGGCAGCATCATGCTGGATGCTTTTCTTCAGCAGGGACATGAAAGACAATCAGAGGTAAATGTAAAGATGGGCAGCTTTGTGTATTTAATGCTTATTTATTTTATACACAATCCTAGTATTGTGTATAATACTAGGACAAAAAGAGCTCTTAAAGCTCTTTTTGTTATTACTTTCTTTCTACACGATTTATTAAATTGGAATAGTCATCAAAATGACAATTTATGCAATATTTTAATCTTGAAGAACTGCTTTATTATATACTTAGTGCTGTTTTGCGCAGCACCCACAAAATAATAAGTTATTGGAAGCAAGCAAGGGGCGCTAACTCTTTAGTGACTGGGTAGAAGCAAGAGGAAAAACTTACAGCTCTATTTTTGTCATTCTAGTTTTTGTGTGCCACTCACTTCCTAATGCTGTCCTGGGCAACAGCCCATATTTTCCACATCAAAAAAGGATATTTTCAGTTAAATTTCATTTGAATTTAGAAGGCAGCAGCATTTGTTGAGGCATTGACAAACAGAAAAACATGGCAATTTTCAGATTTAAAATGTCTAATGAGCTCTATACGTTGGTAGACTTTCATTTTTTTAATGCAACTCGAGTTGCTGTGCTGTGATTTGACTAAAATCTTATTTGATAAGCTCCTGCAAAGCATGCAGTATCTATTCCTGTCACTTCAATTACAGCAAAGGCCCACAAAGGAACATGACCTACCTTCTTTTCTAGTTTATTTAAAGGTGCCTTACTATATAAAATGCACTTTTTGTATGTTTTTTTTTTTACTCCCATTTGGGTCTTTTCTGCTTCAAAAAACAGTTCAAGCATTTAGAAAAACAAACATAAAACACCCAGCCATTTCTGGCAACAAGTTAATGTTTTGTAGTATCTGGAAAATGAGCCGTTTCAAAAACTACTTGTTAAGTCACCTTTGATGAGCACTGTGCTGATACCTAGCAACCCCAGCTGAGCTACAGCATGTTTGATCAACTGGTTTTACCACCGTATTTACTGTACAATGGCTGCTGGAAAAGACAAGTGTTTTGTTGCTGACTTACCATCCAGAAACCACTTGCTGCATTCTTATTGATTGTGCAGGACGTTCCACTTCTGCTTTTCAAACATGTACATTTGTATAATTGTGCATCTGTTTGTAGCTATTTTCCTGTACGAATGTAGCAGCTTCTTTGGATTTAAAGTGAGAGAGTTCCTAAAACATCTCACACTAAAATCTCATTATCTAAGATTGATTTTGTGCAGAAAATGTAATAAACATATTTTGCTCATCGTCCTATCCTAACCTATTCAAGGAAGCATAATAGATCACCTTTAAAATAAAGTCAACATTGAAGGAAGGTTTTCTGCTCTGCACCTAACCTGTGATGATAAAGGTATGGTTCGTTTCGCAGGCCGTCTGATCCGTTGTATCCGCTGCCCGTTGGCCTATCACCCCAGCGACGGCTGCCTGGCCGCCGGCAGCGTCATCCTCACCCATCACATCATGATCTGCAGCAACCACGGCAGCGCCAAGAAGAACGGCCTCCTCTCCTCCCCCGTCAACGTCGGCTGGTGCTTTCTGTGTGCCAGAGGTAAGCCTTCACCACTGGACGCGCCGCCATCTTGACTTCATCACTGCTTAGTGTTTTGGCTTCAGCCCAGAGTTAGCATCTCATGGGTTAAAAGTTACATTTGATATTTTAACCTGTAGATATTTTGATTTGTGTTTCATGTTTAGGGATTTTGTTCATGAAAGCTTGTGCTGTGTTTGTTTTTTCCATCGTAATATTAATAACCCCAGGCTTTCACACTGCACTCCACTTTAATTAGGCAGCAAACAGGTTTTCCAATCAGCCAATTAGGCCCAACACTTAGCGCTGAGTTGAGTGCACTGTTTGGCCTCTTTTACGTCGAGACAAACGTTTTTTGTTTACTACTTCTGAGTGTGTGCGAGGCTGTGTGTGTGTGCGTGTGTGTGTGTGTGTGTGTGTGTGTGTGTTTCTTTCTGTGTGAAATTTGGGTAATTTTCGAGTTTGACTGCGGCTCACCCCCCGTCTCTTCCTGTGTGTCTTGTGTAGGGCTGTTAGTGCAAGACCTTACTGACACCATATTAAGTTCATATGCCTATAAGTCCCACTACCTTCTGACTGAGTCAAATCGTGCTGAGTTGAAATTACCTATGATTCCCTCTCCTTCGTCAGCTACCAAAAAGAATGTTGGGAAAGGTAACTGAACAGTTTTTCTCTTTCTCCTTGTCCCCCCCTCCTCCCTTGGTCCGTGTTTGTGTTGTGCCTGCTCCCGTTCTGATTCAGTTTCCCCCTTTTTGCACACGTCTTTCATTTCAAAGCCTTCAGGTGCAGAGTTAATTAACTGATTACACATGCAGTTCATTTCAATGCAGAGTGACACAAAGGAGCCTCAGCCCAGTTCCAGATAAAAGCGGGCCTCATGCAAGAATAGTTGTTTTTTTTTTTTTCTTTTTTTTTGGTCGTGCCTGAATGTGAAGTTTAGCAGACGATGATGATTTATAGCATCCGGGTTATTCTACAAACACGACATGAGCTGAATGTAGCAAGATCAGTTCAAATCTGGTCAGTGTGGAGGAGGACTAGGGCTACTGCGGCGAAAGAAATCTGACTTTAATGTCAGAAGTGAGAGTTTTTTTTATTTTATTTTTTAATTCTGGCTTTCTTTTTTCTCAGAATTCAGTTTTTTCTCTCATAATTTAATAATGAGTGTCCATCTGAAAATATGGTATTATAGAGTTTATGGGGTAGGAGTTCATAAGTTTCTTTTCTTCTTCCTACTCCTTTTCGAGTATGTTAAGATACATGTGAGTGATACAAAATTATATGTCTTTTGCATTCCTTTTTCATGTGTGTGATTTTATACTTCTATAATGTTCGAAATAAAATAAATACAAATTAATAATAATAATAATAATTGGACTTTTCTCTCAGAATTCTTTTTTTTTTTTTTTTTTTAAATTTTTGCTTTCTTTGGACGGTTCCTTTCTTTTTTTTTTTTTTACG